GGCTGATCGGCACAGACGTTGCAAGGCAATGCTCCCTCCCTGCACAGTGTATCTCTATGCAGGCATACAGTACAGCAAGCCCTCGCTTAACGCCAAATTACTTTCTTGAGCTGCGCGGCTGAGCGATATGATACAATACCAACATAAGTGCTAAAAGACCAAGAAGTGATTCTTTTCTTCAAGCGTCAATAAATGTAGGAAGGTGATCACACTACAAATCAAATAAGAATAGTTCTGGCGTTTTTCAGCAGGAGATAGAGCTGTGGACATTGCCACTGTGCTTGGTCTGCCACGAGTGTCAGGATTACCAGAAGCAATGCACAGTCCGGAATACCTTTAAGTGCTGCTGGAGTGAACCGCTCAAGAGTGAACTGCTCAAGAAGCATGCAGAAATATGGAGCGCCTGTTATCAGTGTGGATTGAAGATCAAAATCAGTGCCACATTCCTTTCAGTTTACAGGTGATCCAGGCAAAGGCACAGCATATTTTTGAGGACTTACAAGGCTGAGGGGTGGTGAATCAAACCAAGAGGTGACGTTCACAGCCATTCGAGGGTGGTTTGAGAGGTTTAAGCACCGCAGCAACCTGCACAACATTTTAACGATGGGCGAGGCGGCGAGCACAGACACTTCAACACCTCACTCCACCTCAAGCGAGCTCCACAACCGTCACCAGTGAGCGTTAACCAAACTGTGTCCTGGGCCAGCATCAGGGTCGTCGCCCAGTATTCTTAAGCACGACGGAAAACTTCTCAGGAACCTAACCTCCCCTATTTACATTTGTTTCTCATGAGGAAATAAGATTAGCTTCAACTCGGATTTTCCAGGAGCGAGCACGACCCGCATCTCTCCTCGTTTGTTAGTTGTGCAATATTCATTAAGGACCCTGTTCTCGTACTCTGCGATATTGATACGTTAGTTTGTATTGTTGACGTGCACACGGCACCACAGACTTCGCTTGTAAAACATCTGGGCTGCTGCCTAAATGGGACCATCCGTATAACAATCCAATGAGCATAAACTCAATGCATAGCTAGGTAAAAGGTACAGATATGAGAGGATGCTTGGTATACTTGATCAAGAAATGTGGAAAGCTAACATCTACTAGAGTTCCCAACAAGCAGGAGGGACATTAAGGTAATGAACACTTCTAATAAAGATGGACATGGAGGTGCCCAAAGACTTCAGAAATGGAAGACTCGATTCTCACAGACTGTCAGAGATGTCTCGATCGACAGCAAGTTCAATACAAGAAGGCTGGTGAGATGCGAGAGATTAATATTGCCAGATAAGAACAAGGCAACATCAAAGTTATGGTTGAGGATGTACAGCAATGTGATTTACACTGGTTCTAAGCAATGGATTCAAATACCTAGAAAAGTTAAATGGTTAAGTCGATGTCACCACTTTGAATAAATGGACAAAAAAAATATTTATCATAAACACATGCTACCTTAAAAGGATGTGTATATATCTCATTAGGTGACATTTCAGGCAATGGCCCGTCGTTTTTATAGCAGATACATGACCACGAGAACGAACATTGTAATAGACGGTTCAAGTGAAGGTGAGAAAATGTGAGTTGAAAACGGGATAGAAATGTCAAAAAACAGAACACACACAACTCTGTAAAACGATTACCAACGAGGAAAGACTAAACAACACGCAATGGGTGCGTGAGCAGCAAAACGGAAGTCGATGATTGATAAATGATAAGAAACTCTCCCCTTGGAGAGCTAAATGAACCCATATCACGTGATGGCAACGGTCATAAACCTCATGCAGGAAATGTATGCAGAGATCTTTACAACAAAAACAATGCATATACAGTACACCAGGAAGCAAACGCGCTTTCTGTTGATGTTCCAGATTGTCCCACCTGCAGAGGTAACCAATGTCCTTCACAGGATGACAACACGGAAAGCTGCCAGATGGAACATCACCAAAGGAGAGGGACCAGCGTACAAGGGGGAGTCCCATTCTCCCAGGGTTTTGCACAGAAATCAAACGCCTCAATTGTGGAACGGCACCCTCCGGAATCATTCTATTTGCCTCATCACACGTACTGCTTAGAAACCGTTCACTTTTACACTGTGCAGTAAACACTAGGCACTGCAATTGTAGTGCAGTTAACACTTGGCAGGGCCATAAGAGGTTTTTGGGTTACATCGCGTGAATATAAATGTGTCGTTAAACCCGCCACCACTCGACACAGCCAATTAGTAAGGCTTGTCACGTAAACAAAACGTTCCATTTCGTAACTAGTTCAGCACTAACCGGTTGATTGTTGGAGAGTAAACCCACAATCAGGCGACGGTCAGAGTTTGGCAGGTATCAATTTAACACACCGAAAATCCGAAACTCCCATTCGTCAATAACACTGTGGTCTGAAAAGGAAGACTGTGTGCTCGATGATGTTATGGGCAATGGCCCTTCTGCACAACACACACACACAGAGGCCGGGGAAAGGGTTAATCAGAGTTGGAGACTGCACCATGGAGCCTGACTAAAATGCATTTTCACTTTTTTTATGCTGCTGAACAGTGTTAAATTGCATAACACAAGAGTTGCAACCAGAGGTCCCAACATCTTTTCCACCGAGGGCCAGTTTGACGTCCATGCCTAAAGCTACAGGCTGTAAAGAGAACCCACATTACGTACTGTCACTTGATATATATTATGACAGATGAATGCATAATAGCTAGGTTAGCTAATAGGGGAGATCAGTCATAATAGCAGATATATTCACAAAAGGCACAGGTATAAGATGAGACAAGCATTCAGAATGGAGATTAAATGAGAGCTGGTTATAAATGTGAAATATGTATTTATTATCTACATGGGGTGAAAAATAAACAAGATACACGGTAGATGGATGTACGTGTGTGTATATATACTGCAGGACTCACTGAAGCCGTGCTGAAAGTTCACCACTCCCATTCTACCCCCACCTGACCTCACCCCCAGCCATTGCACTTCACTTGCCTGTAAAGGGAATATGCCCAACACGAAGATGTAATTAAGACGTGCGTGTTAAGTGATTCGCTTCATTTTAAATTCGCAGAGGGGCCCTCTTTCTAATTCTAATTGTGACACCAATTATTTAAAACAAGAAATTAACCTTCAGACCGGATGTATCCCACGGCCTCTCGTTCCCACAGCCCTGGCCCATCAGCCATGAATCACTCTCTAGCTGGATGGAGGCCTCCCTAACCCAACAACCACCTTTCACGATCCTGTGATTTAATAACCCAACAATTCACTGTCCTTTGTCAATCTGCCGCTGAAGGCCTCTCCACTGCGTGACGGTCACTGGGGTTGTTTGACTAATATACTCCACGCTGGGTGGTAGCGGGTTGGTGAAAGGGGTGGGTGAACCCACGGCCGATTCACATATCGTTCGCCCACTGATGTTAGCCGTGGCCAGGAACTGAACTCAAAGCGGTGTACTTTTAACTCAGCTTTTACTAGCACCCCCCATTCACCGCATTCAAAACACACACAAGCGCTTAGAGTAATTGTCTATATAACATTCATGAGGCTTCCACGAGTAGATAACTGGTATTAAGTTTCGCCAAGCTCTGACGTTAAGGGTCACATCATTGTTCTGTAAAACATTCCACGCATACACAAGGGACACGAGCACTCACTAGAGTGCTTTACTAAGGACCGTCTAAGTAGTCAATCACTGGCGCCCACGATAAAACTACCGAAGCCATCTCGTCGTGGGATAACAGACCTCGGCTGTGGCATTTTGTTTTCAATCGAACGAAACACACTGCTGCCATCACTCGCAATGTAACGCCGTGAGCCAGACTCGATCACACACACAACACCGACGATTCTCGTAAAGCGATCACCACGATGACCTGAGACTGAAGCCATCAGCTGTGTTTGGGGGGGCTGTAATTAGCGACCAGAAATGGTGTTGAACAGAGGCACAACTTTGCTGAATAGCAGTTTTTTTCCCTCTCTCTCTCAGAATTAAATGTTTCATAACAGCTAACAAAAATAATTGATAACAACATCGCTCGGTCTGCCAACCCAGCCGCAGAGACAGACACGGGGTGAGCTGCAGCACAGCCACTGGTCCACGTGTGCACACATCACATTCACACAACAATACCGTGCGCACTACACGTGCATTAACACACAGTCAGTCGGACACATCAACGCAGTAGTGTACTAAACATACATTAACACACTTTCACTGTGTAGTGCCATCCACATTAACGCAGTACTGTGTACTAAACGAACATTAACACAATTTCACTGTGTAGTGCCATCCACATTAACACAGTATTGTGTTAATGTGGATGTATAAAACCATCATTTAATGATGTATATACATCCTGTAATACCTTCACACTTTCCTTCTCGTGTACGAACACACACACTTAAACAATGTTTTCATTAGTGCCAAGCAACCATATATGGTGCACAATAGCGACATTAATTGCAATGTACGAGACACGCACACTGCTTCGTGTTGTTGATGTGCAATAACAAATGTTTATAAAAACCGTGCAATTAACCCCCCCTCCCAGTATTCAGCTATGATTAGTAGGCGTGTAAAGATCCCCGAGGTAAAGTTGTTGTTTTTCAACGCACAACATAAAGAAAATACAGCAGCTCAGTACTGTACACAGCACACAGTACTGAACGCGGTGCATCGTGACACATTAGAACACATTTCTACCACGACACATCCCACGGAATGAATAAGACCGCGCGATCAGCAAGCGAGCCCCACGGTGTTTGCGCGGGGCCCCGCCGCCGCGTGTACAGTGCGGGACAATAGCGCGGCCTGCGAGCCGCCTCGAGCCTTCGTGCCACCATCAGCGAGATTAGCGGACGACCACGACGACGACAACCACGACGACAACAACAACAGCAGCAGCAGCGGCGGCGGCGATGTGAGAGGGGCGCACTCGAGGCGCAGACTGCAGCAACACAAAGGCCGCAACAATGGCCATGGCCACGGCAGCCACTCGCCCGCACCATGGCGTGGACGCCTCCTCGCTCCCCTCCTGCTGCTGCTGCTCCTCGCTCCCCACCGCAGGGGCCGCCGCGGCCTCCAAGGAGCCACCCCCCTCCTCCCTCCTCCCCCGCGGCCGCCGGGCTCTTGATCCGCGGCGGTCAGAGCCCGGACCTCGCCATGTGTTTACAAAGCGGCGGCGGCGGCAGCAGCGACGGCAATGAGAAGAGGGCAGTGACTGAGTGGTGGTGGGGGTAGTGGGGGTGGGTGGTGGGGGAGGGGGTAGTGGGGTAGTGGGGGGGGGTAGTGGGAAGGGGGGTGGGTAGTGGGGGGGTGTAGGGGGATAGTGGGGGGTGGGGTAGTGGGGGGGTAGTGGGGGGGTGTGGTGGTGGGGGGGTGATGGTGGGGGGGTAGTGGGGGGTGGGGTGGGGTAGTGGGGGGGGGGTAGTGGGGGGGGGTGTGGTGGTGGGGGGGGCACCGCTCCACAATTCGCAGAGCGCACGAGGCCGAGCGTCGCCAGCGCCGAGCTCCCATTGGCCCGAGCCGCGCACGCGCCCCGCGCGGGTCGCGATCCCATTGGCGGAGCGCGCGCGCTGAGCCAATGGGAGCGCGCGCACTGAGCCAATGGGGAGAGCGCGCGCTGAGCCAATGGGAGCGCGCGCACTGAGCCAATGGGGAGAGCGCGCGCTGAGCCAATGGGAGCGCGCGCACTGAGCCAATGGGGAGAGCGCGCGCTGAGCCAATGGGGAGCGCGCGCGGCCGCCCGTGCGCGCTGGGGATGCAGCGGCGGCTGCGGCCTGGCCGGGCAGGCCCCGCGCGGGACAAGCCCCGGGGCCCCGGGGAGCAGCCGCGGTCGCTCCCCCCGCCCCAACACCACCCACCGCCAACCCCGCGGGATTGGCGGTGAGAGGACCCCCCTCCCCTCCCCTCGAGAGACGGCGACAGAGCGGCCGTGGCGGGCGGGCGGCGTTGTCGGCGCGACTCGCCACCTGCTTCCTCCTTCTTGCCCCTGTTGGGCATCTTCCGCGGGCGGCTTCGACTCTGCACGGCGCTCGCAGGCCCCGCACCCCTCGCTGGCGATATACACACACACTACATACACTACTACTACACTACTACAACATGTTACATAGTACACACATACTACATACCAGAGGTGTGGACTCGAGTCATGTGACTTGGACTCGAGTCAGACTCGAGTCATGAATTTGATGACTTCAGACTCGACTTGGACTTGCATAACAATGACTTTGTCCCACCTCTGCTACATACACTACTATACTACTACTACACGATATACACACACACTACATACACTACTACTACACTACTACAACATGTTACATAGTACACACATACTACATACACTACTATACTACTACTACACGATATACACACACACACTACATACACTACTACTACACGATGTACACACACACTACATACCCTACTACTACTACACGATATACACACACTACATACACTACTACTACTACACTACTACAACATGTTACATAGTACACACATACTACATACACTACTATACTACTACTACACGATATACACACTACACTACATACACTACTACTACACGATATACACACACACTACATTACTACTACACGATATACACACTACACTACATACACTACTATACTACTACACTACTATAACATGTTACATAGTACACACACTACACTACTTTTTTGTTTAATTGTTTGTAACGGCAGAGATTAGGGATTATTCAAGTACAACCATGACTACAATCGTATAAACAAAAATCTATTTTATAGCAATATATTGGGGGGGGGGGGGGGGACACAATAATCAAATATGCTCAAAATGTAACACAATACACTATAGACATTGCAAAAATAAAAGAAATAAAAGTCCATCCTATGTGCTAGTGAATTTTATTTATATTTTAGGCAGGAAATTCGTTTTCAACACGACAATATACACTCGCTACATACGCGTTTGTGTACACAATTTCATTTACAAACTACCGCATAGGGGGTACATTACACACTGCACACGATATAGATGCTGAAGTAATCTACATGGACTTCTCTATGCCTTTCACACCCTACTCTCGACAAACAACTATCCACAATCTCTACACAGGACTTCTCTACACTACAGCGGGCCACCACTCGCCACTTAAAGTGGCGCTTGTGCCAGGCTAGGTGCACGCACTTTGAGGCCACGTCCCACTTCTGGCAGGTCACGGCACAGACCCAGGTGCCATGGGTTGACTGATTGAGATGATGAGTGTACGATACAGCCTAAGGGGCTGTCCATAAATGACGTCACGCGATTTTGGACGATTTTTGACCCCCCCCCCCCTCGTCACACGGCGTCACAAAAAGTCAGACCCCCCTCAAATATGACGTCACAAAGCTTTGTCCCCCCCCTGAACCATGTTTCGATTTTGAAAAAAAACATGCTTCAAATCGCTTTAAACAATTGTCATTGTAGTGCGTATTTAATGTGCCGCTGCACTCTGATGTTGTAGGAGAAAACATTTATTAAAAAGTCTATTTAAGTAGAACGTGTTGTCTATATTTATTTAAAGCTGCGCATTTTGATGTGACGTCACATTTCTCAAACCCCCCCCCTCGTTACACATCGTCACAAATGTCTGACCCCCCCTCCCCCGAGGTGCGTGACGTCATTTATGGACGGCCCCTAAACTGCACCAAACTTGCAACGCTTTACTCGCCCGTCACTCCGCTCGTTGTTGTGAGCGTCGCTCTGCCCCCCGCTGTTGCTGGAGGGCGACTGCCGCCAACTTGTCCAGAGGGCGATTTTGACACCGCTGGTCGCAGTCCTCGGCAAGTCCAATCAGCTGCACACCCTCGTGACCCGCACCGGCCCCCGAAGCCCCCTCTCTCCGGCTGGGCACACGCGACGTGACCCGCACCGGCCCCCGAAGCCCCCTCTCTCCGGCTGGGCACACGCGACGTGACCCGCACCGGCCCCGGAAGCCCCCTCTCTCCGGCTGGGCACACGCGACGTGACCCGCACCGGCCCCGGAAGCCCCCTCTCTCCGGCTGGGCACACGCGACGTGACCCGCACCGGCCCCGGAAGCCCCCTCTCTCCGGCTGGGCACACGCGACGTGACCCGCACCGGCCCCAGAAGCCCCCTCTATCCGGCTGGGCACACGACGTGACCCGGCCAGCGCAGACATCGCCAGCCGGATGAGTTCACCGATGATGGGATTCTGATTCTGTCCGTATAGTTTGAACAGAAATCAGTGAGATCGTCACACCTTTATCAGTGCCGACCTTATTACAGACCAATTCAGACCATATTGGCCACTTCGTGCGCTTTTAAATCTCAACGTTCATCGTACAAAGTCCCATCACAAGGGAGGAACACAGACAACACATGTTGCCCTTATTGAAACGGCTGTACACCGTCGTATGGACCTGAAAACTAAAATGTCCTGTACAAAAATTCGGGTAAACCGTATGGGTTGACATCAATGGATCGTGGTTATATTCAGGATTGATCGTAGACGTGCCAGTCGGATTCAATCTGGCGTAGGTGTTCCTGCAAATCGGTCGTGGTTCCATGTTACGAAAGCCAAAATTGAGGCCGAAGCTGTCTGAAAAGACCCACAGCTTCATGTGGAGCGATAGGAACGGGTCGCCGCCACGAAGCGTAGCGCAGCCGGTGAAGCGATTCCAATCGCAGCACGGCCAACTCATCAGCTCTCGCCGCAGCCAAATTGAACACTGCCCCGGAAAGTGTTCCCCACATCGCCCGCACAGTCCAGAGCGGGATTCCTCCCAGCACTGTCCGCCTGTTTGGCCCTCCGAGGGAGGAACGCCTGGCGGCCTGGGTGTGGGCAATGATCGCCGTCGTGTAACGAGTTGAAGACGCGTGCCCTGAAATAGCAACATACGCTGAGACTTTGCTTCTGTGCCGCATTGGGCATTCGAAGTTGGTCGAAGTTCTGTGCCTGTGGATGGAGACGAGAGCTGCCGTGATCCCGTATATGACTTTTTATGTATGTATGTTGAACTTCTTTCGCACCGTACACAGCCAACCATGTTAATCGCAAATATATTGACATCCAATGGCGATAAACGTCTTCGAGGCAGTTTAACACGTCGGCTTTCGCGACCTGACTATCTCGCCTGATGACGCGAGTTGTAATTAATGGCGAAACGTCGTACTGAGATTGTTATGGATTTACTCTCCAACACACCGGTGTGCTCTACTAGTAACGGATTGGCATATTATATTTACGTAACAAACCTTACTAATTGGCTGTGCTGGGTGGTTGCGGGTTTTACGACACGTGTATATTTACTCGATCTAACCCCAAAAAAAACCTGTATTATTTTTCAAGGCAGTTTCTCACCAACATGTCGTGTTTTTTTAATGGAAAATGTTATTTGTAACCAACATTGATCGCTGCAATATCAAGACGTGGCGAGTGAGATCTGAACCATTCCTTTGGTCCCTCCTCCAAGCTGCAATGACCAGCAGAGTGAGGCATGACCCAACAAAAAAAAACCCTCCACGATCGACACGGAATGGGGAGGCCTCCATCTCGTAGTGGACTGACAACTGTAAATCATTATAATGCATGCATTATGTATGGACACGCATATCCGGAGTTTGCGGAGTTATTTCTATTATGTTAAGCCGACTGCATTGTTCGTCCCATTGACCAAACCACGCGTTTAGCCACGAGGTGGCAGCAGAGCCTCGTAGAAGCGGCGAGACGCGGCTCGTGGTTGGTATTGTCCGCCCCACTGTCAATATCCACGGTTGAATGAAGGCCCCTCCCATCGCCATGCCATTCACGTGCTTGTTTGGTCAGATTTCACCACCCTCGTCAGTGTGCTGGTGGAGGGATGTGGAAGGAGCCAGAACAGGTTAAGATTTAATTTGGCACTGATGTCAGCTGTCCTACACACACACACCGAAACCTCCTCCACATTCTGCCCTTTCGTCTGAGCCAGTTTTTGCAATAGTATTCAAACAGCGTCGTTCCAATGAGCTTGATATTTGTGATCAGCGTGCCGATGGACTGGACAAATGAGAGTTCACGATGAGAAATGTTCAGACTTCTGTACGTGGCTTTCCTGCCACGTTCTACTTTAAACTTCCAAGTATCGTCCTACTCTGAACTTCCTTTCCCCCGCACCCCTGGTTAGCAAAGTTGGCGACGTATAGTGCGAAGCAAG